ACAGTTCAATATCAAAGCGGCAGTTACCGTTAACGGAAAATTATTGAACCACGTACGATATGTAGATGATACTGTGATCATTGCAATGAGCATAGAAGACCTACAACATCTAATCGAAAGCTTAATTATGAATAGTGCTGACATGGGAATTACTATAAACTCTAAATAAAAGAAATATATGCTAATTATAAAAAGACCACAACATATACACCGCACAAGTAGAAAAATATCAGTACTTGGGAACTTTGATCAATGAAACCAATGATCATACTATATACATAAACAGGCGAATAGAGATTGCCAGATCAGTATTTATTTATACAAATGAAGCCACTCGTCACGTGCAGAAATCTTAATCTGGAAATCAGACTGTGTACCATTCGATGTTATATATTTTCGATATTATTATATGGAGCTGAGACTTAGACATTAAAAAAATGTAATTTAAAAAGAATCGAGGCTTCCGAACGCTGGTTATACCGCACAGTATTAAAAATATCATGGACTGAAAAAATTACAAACAAAATACTGGAGAGGGTTGGTAAAAAAATAACTTATCACCACTATTTTTTTTTTGAGCCTATTCTCTATCATTCCATTGTTGGATATAGGTCTCCCCCAGTTCTCTCCATCTTCTCCATTTCTCTCAGTTCTCTCCCAAAGAACAAACAACAAAACTGGAATACCTAGGTCACGTGATGAGGAGACCAAAATATGAAATTTTGAGATTTTTGATACAGGGAAGACTCAAGAAAGCAGATCTGTTGACCGAATGCAGAATTCCAGGTTGAAGAATCAACGGGACCAAAATATGAAATTTTGAGACATAATACAGGGAAAGATTCAAGGAAGAAGATCTGTTGGGCTAAGGCAGAACTCATGGTTGAAGAATCTACGAGATCGGTATCAATTCAGATCGAATGATTTGTTTGGGGCAGCAAGTTTCAAAAATAAAAATCGCCATTATGATTGTCAACCCCCATAGGGAGACGGTATTCTAAGAAGAAGAATTAGACTAAAATCATCGAAAATATATTGTAATTCATTACTATTAGATTAGAGGAGAGTGGTCCATAGTGAGACATGTTCCACAGTGAGACAACGCATTTTCTGAGGACATGTTAACAGTGCTTTGCATGCTATCCCCACCATAAGATTCTCTCAACACGTAGAGTCTACCAGCAAATAAGTTCACTTGTTCGTTGATTTAACCTTACCGCTCAATTGCAGTAATAAACTACAACCATTAGATTGGCGTTTATTTTTCATTTAAGGCACAATATAACAGAGCAGTCGATTCTTGGCTCAGGCACCACCCCGGAGTTCCAATGACCATACACGATATACCAGAATGTATTACGACTGCATTTCAGCATTTAATGACCCCGATTAATATAACACCACGATTCCGTAAATCGGGTATTTTCCCTTATGATCGGGATATTATTGCAGAAGATTTCCTTCCTTGTTCCATCACAGATCGGCCTGAACAGTAAATATCTTCAAATGGTACTGTCGAATCTCTAGTTTCAGATTCCTGCACAAATGACAAACAAGAGGAAAATGATCCTACTTCGAATCTTGATACTGTGATAACAATACTTACTATTGACCATAATTCTGAAGCAACCGTCGTGACAACAAAATCGTTTTCGAGCCCGTAAGAATTTAGAGGCTACCCCTAAGCTGCTCCAAGAAAACGAGTGCAGAACAGAAAACGCGAAAAAAGTTTCATTCCAACAGAGCCTCTAGGAAAAATTGTACTTCAAACAAAGTACGCCGAAAAACGAAAAGCTAGAGCTAAGATAGTAAAAAAAACGATTAATCGAATCCGAAAATAGTTCTTTGAGTGACCAAGCAAAATCTCTAAACAGGTCATCTGAATATGATGCAAAACCTTGTTCCAATATCAGGATTCGAAGAATTGGATAAAAATGCAGTCATTGATGACTATTTTCTTGTAAAGTTCGCAAGCAAAAGTCAGTAAAATATTTTGTTGGCAAAATTTTGACTAATTTTTCCGATGATTTCGAATATGAGATCAATTATCCGAAAAGAAAAAATGAATCGAAGTTCTTTTATCCAGACGTTCCTAAAGTTGCTAGTGTTTTATCGCAAGATATAGTGATGATTTTACCTGTACCAGTTTTGTATGACAAAACAAAGAGGCAAAATAATTGTGTTCAGATCGAAGTGAATTTTGGCGCACTATATGTTCAATGAACGATGTCTCGTTGTGGACCACTGTGTGTCTCAGTGTGGACCACTGTGGGACACAGTGAGACACTTTGCAACGTCAAAAATAATTTTTTTACACAAGTTCTACACAAATCTATTTCTGTTGTGTATTTTTGTAAAATAAAGGCCAATTTACAGGATTATTCATTTGTTTATTTTTTCAATATAGTACATATTTAGAAAAAGTATGGGACAAAATCTCGTATGAATAAAAACCGTCTCACTGTGGACCACTCTCCCCTACTTAAAAATTTTCAATTCGAAAAACGGTAAATCAAAATCAACGAATAATTTGTTTAAATAATAGCAAACAAATCTACGAAATTTTCAAGTATCTTTCATTGTCTGGGAAAAAAGTACGCTCTTGAAACTTTCTGAAAATAAGAAACTTATGGCCCTTAAGTGGCAATACACATTATATTAAAACATAAAATCTGGGAACGAGAATTTATTTTTGTAAATTCGTAATTTTTTTATTTATGAACATTAAGGGTTAAAACTTTCATTTCTAATTTAATATTTAAGTTTTATAGAGTTCAACCAAAAGTTTTTAAGTCAAAAAAGTGATGTTAAGAAACTGCGAGAGAAGGAATGGTAGGCGTCGAGAAAATTGAACGTGGCATGTTCAAATCCAATATTTCTCCGTTATTTGTGGACCGATTTCGATGTTTTTATTTAATCTAGGGTAAAGAGATAAAATATTAATAACTGTAATATCGGTTTTCGTCAAATTAGGCGTTAATTTGTTAGAAACAATTATTATGCAAAAAAATCTTTCACGGTTTTTTATTGCAGTTCAAATTTCTTTAAAATATCTTCAGAGTACTGAAATTCTCAAAACCAACAGGGACGAAAACTGTTCCGTTAGTTTAGAAAGTAGAGGGAACTGGACCCATACATTAGTCTAATGAAAGCTGATTTAAAAATAGATGTATCTATATAGTTCTGTACACATATAGTTGAGTACACATCTGCAAGTATAATACGAAACATTTTTTTTTCAACCATACCTAAAACTTAACGACATTTTTAATTACCATTTTGGAGGCCCAAAAATGCAAATTCGATATTTACTAAACATATACATAAAATATAAGTCTAATGTATGAAAAGAGAACCGGATGATTTTTCTTGGGGGAAGGCAATTAGGTCAATTTTTATTGAACTCTTAAAAACTCTTTTCTAATTAATAAATTAAATATTTTGTAAACCAATAAACGTATTTTAATAAATAATTTATGGTAACTTAACGGTCACAAGGGCGCCATTTTCAGAAAGTTTTAAGAGCGTCTTTTTAAGATGCTTTTTCTACGAAATAAAAAAATACTTGAAATTTTGAAAATGTTTTTTTGTAATTTTTAAACAAATGTACATCAAAAATAGTAAAAAGAATCAATTTTATAACCAAAAATCTCTAAGCAGAGTTACTGATATTTTTAACTCATAAACAATTAGAATAACTTTTAAACTATTACTCGTAGACGAAATATTTTTTTATTTTTGGAAAGCTGACAATTTTTACACGAATTTAAAAGAAAAATGTTGCCAAATGAACAGTTTCTGAGATATGGGACCACCCATATATTTTACAATCTTCTGTTACAGTTTTTTGATTGATCCTTTAAAAATCTCCCATTGGATCGTAGTCTACAAAAAAATAAAGATAGTAGCAGGACAGAGTAATAACATAATAGAGAAATTTGTTAGTTAAAGCAGCAGTAATTAAAGTTTGCACTATCAAAAAAGTACTCAATAATTTAAAAGACCTAAAGGGGGACGTAAAGGATTCATGCGCAATTATTGAGGCGGTACTAATAAATTAAACAAAAGATAAATAAGAATCGAAGAGGGAATACCATATTAAAACTGATACGATAAAAGGGAATGGGGAGACTAAAGAGTAGATAAGAGGATTAAATAGAAAAATAAACCATATGATATTAGCCAGTAATGAAAATAAACCAATATAGACGGACAGAGTGATACATTGTCAAAAAGGCCATAAAAACCTTATTTAAAGCTCATTTAAAGGAGTACACGTAAACTCATCACCAATTGGGATAATTGTATGCACTATAGATAGTACAAACTCATAACCACAATAAATTTAGGAATTTTTAAAATAAACCCGGAAAAATTTGCAAACTAATCACTGGCCTACCTGCACTCCGTGGCAAGTGAAGGCCATAAAACCCTTGCAAACCGCTAATTTGATAATGTAAAAAAATAATCCAAGTTAAGATGTATTTAATGCAAATACAATGCATGCAATTGGCTGATATTTGGGAATTCCAGCTACTTAAACTATGCGAAAAGAAAACTTTCTCTTCATCTGCCCTCGTTCGTTCAAGGATAGTGAATTACTTACTGGTTGCCTATAAAACGTCTAAAAGGCTACTCACATTGAGACACCTTATATAAATAAATCTATAATCTAAATTTTAAAGCAATTTGCTTAAAATGATTTCTGAATTTAATAGTTTACCGCGTAAACAAGAAGTGTGACAGGTAACAGACAATCTTCCGCATTAGCAACCAGCGCCTTGCGATAAAAAGGCTGGTGATGAGTTTACCTATCTGTGGTGATGAGTTTACGGGTCTTCCAAGGATGCCGGTGATCAATTCAAGAATTTGCAACCAGACTCAAATTCCTTATAAAAATGAAACATATACATTTAAAGACATGATATAATTATATAAAATCGTCATAATGTATGTATGGTCCTCTAACAACAAATTATTATAAAATAATATTTTCTTACCCTTTGTCCGTTCATTTGATTCCGTTGTAGCATTATCTGAAAATCTTCGTCTATTTTACTGTACTTGGCTTCTGTCCGTGGTGTCAGTTGATATTCAGTCTCAGGTTCTGGGCTGTCAGGACTCATAACTCCGTTCTTATGCTCCTTCTTATTAAGTGCCTGCAAGTGTCAGTGGACCAGCTCATGGAGTAAAACTTTGGGGTTAACATGCATACACCACACATACTATTTGGATCACATTCTAATATCACATAATAAAGAGATTTTATTATTTCGGTGCTATATTGCCACAACCACTAAATAACCTATTTGACCTCTCTTACTGAACTATGTAGTCCAAGCTAAAGAGAAAAACATGAATGATTTTGATTATTAATTAGTGAATTTTTAAAGCCATCACAGCGCTATGAAGGGTACTGCCTGGAATAATCTCAAGTGTTTGCAACTCCAAAATGTTGGTTATAATTTTTTTATGTCACTTTTAAGGCGCAAAAACGTTTTTTATTATTCTTATTTTTATTGTATCAAATCAACACATGAAGGTAAAGTAGGTACCATACGATGAAAGTAGATATAAAAATCTTTAATTTGAGCTAAGCTACATTAAATTTAACTTAATAGGTTATGTAAAATTAATGATTGAAGGCCCAAAAATGTCAGTGTTTTCTTCCCTTTTTAGTTTTTGGAATAACTTTATAAAAATTCTTTTTTTTTATGCAAAAAATATTATGTTTTAGTTCTCTTAATTATGAATTGAATGACAATTTGTAAGATCCAATCAGTCAATTCGTTTTCGCGTTTTTCAACAATTAAGAATTAAAATCGGTGCCATTTAATAGATAGAGGCCTGTATTTTATGAGGATATATTTTTTATTTTAAAAACTATTTACAGTCAAAAAAATAAGTAGACTTTTTTTGAGTAGCCGAATGAACTCGGTGGTGGCGAACTCTACTCCTGTCGGCCCGGTGAGAAAAATTCGAAATGTCCGGCGTTCGAACAAATTTTTATCTCCGTTAAAAATGAATCGCTCTTTTTTTAGAAAAAAATTTGTGAACATTGGCTGTATATTTTTAGCTGCGATTAAAACTTTAGTGATTATTAACATTTCTTTTTAAATTACTCAATCATATTTATTTTACATATATTTTTTAAACTATTTAAATGAAAATTTTTTAATATTTTATATATTAACGATAACAAAAAGACACAAAACTACAGTGATTTTCGTTTAAGGCTAAAAAAACAGGTGGCGCTGTTTGCAGCTGCCACTGGAGAAGTGGAAAAAGCAGCACACATTTGCTGGCTTTTCGTGTGTAAGTTTGTATCTACGCGACTGTCGTAGGGTGTCTACAGAGTGTCCAATTGAGTCAGCACAATATAGGAAACTTTTTTATTATTAATTTAACCAAAAAAAGTTATTTATAAATAAAATATTATTTATTAAAAATTTCACAATATTGAAAATTTTTGTAATGAAAAGTTGTTTGGAATTTTAAGGTTTGGAGGTTTAATTAAAAGTGCAATAAAAATATTATTACCAACAGTTTGGAGTTGCAAACACTTGGATGTTACTCCAGACATTGCCCTTCATAAAGCTGCGCTATTTTCTAAAATTTAATTATTATTTAACTTTTTGTTTTTTGCAGCTTGGGCTAATAAGCATGGAAGCGATTTGTATTATTCCTTGAGTTATTGAACGTATAAAAACTACAGAGGACTCGCTCATTTATAAATAACTGTTTAATCATTTTTCAATATCAATTGAATGTAGATTTTACTAAATCCGCAAGTGTCTTATTGACATATTTCAATTAGCTTAATACCATTGTTGTTTCATTTCATTTTCTCCGAATCGTCCCACTATATCGTCATCTTCCTTTCCTATGTGGCTATTAAAATCTCCAATTAGTCAAATATCTTATTTTTCTTTTGCATTATCTAAGACATCTTTTAGTGCATTAAAAAAAAATAGGGTTATAGTACCGAAAAACAAGCAGGGATAAGCTCAGAATCATAATAGGCTTCCTTATTTGACATGAGCCAGTCAAGGGACACCTACATACAAATACACTGTTTAATAGAGACTTAAGGCTGCAGTCTCCGTGACAGCGAACCAGAAACAGTCAAACCTTACTTTGCATGACTGTGAGGCACTAGATCGTAGGTAGTAAACACCTTTTGGACACTACCACGTGACTCCAACATGTGGTACCCATCCACTACACCTGTATAAACTGGTACAGAAAGATAAGCCAATTTGCTACATACAGTACGAAAACCGATATTTACTACTTGTCTGTTATCCTGAAGATGTTTAAGGGTAATAGCAGTTAATTCTGTTATGCCACTTCGATTTCTAACCATCAGTATTGTTCATGTTTTCAAGATTTTACAAAACACATTTAGCGGTTGCGTGTAACAGACTGTAAAAAGAACTGAGACATCCTATTAAAAATATAGATATAATATATATATATATATATATATATATATATATATATATATATATAATTAAAAAATTATATATAATTTAATTATATAAATTATATATAATAAAAAAAACCTTTATATAGCAAGATTAAAAATATGATCCATGGTAATAAAAAAGTTCATCAATTAGTTACGTGAAAATTTCTATGAAGCTTTGTCTGTATAACTGGATATGAAGGTTATGTACCCCCCCCCCCCACTCTGATAGCTTGTTAAAAGAATATTTGCCGTTGGTTGATGAACTTTCCAATAACCACTTCATGTTCTACAATACAGTTTTCACATATAAAAATAATACATATCCTTAAACCGATTTTAGAACCCAGTGGTTTTTTGGCTTTATTCGCCTGTATTTGTATGTATGCATGGAATAGGTCTGACTCGAATAAAATGCTGACTTCGAATAATTAGGAAATTTCAGTAACCACTTAAGGGTACTTAAAACCCGTTTACACGGGTAGAGTAATGATGCAAGTACTTATTAGAGTAGAGTAACTCTACCCGTAAAAACGATCAGCACATTTAAGTAGCAAGTATAGTGCGTAGTAGGTAGTAGAGTAGAGTGACTAGCAACATGTGGCAGAGTGACTCTACTCTACTACCACCACCACCACCACCGCCAAAATGTCCACTCGCCTGCGCACTCTACCCATGGAACGCGGTCAATTCTGGTAGAGTAGATAGGAGAGTACATAGGGATGCTGTCATTCCGGCTGGAGTTGTGTTTTGTAAATAGTGAAAATGAAGTTCACCGAAGATGAAACTTTAAAACTTGTAGAGATGTATGGCGAATATCAGTGTTTATGGAATTTAGGTAGTGTACACTACAGAAATAAAAGTATGAGGCAAACTGCGGAGGATGAAATCGTCGAAAGAATGGCAAAAGGGGGCTTTGGAGTAAACGAGCTCAAGCAAAAAATTAAGAATATAAGGTGCACTTATAATCAAGAGTGTTTAAAAATACAAAAATCAAAAAAATCGGGTGCAGGTTCAGCCGATGTATACGTTCCGAACGTGAAATGGTTAACTCCTATGGAAGCAATCATGAAAGGTGCAAAAGGAAACAAGAAAACTGAAGGCTGACGGGTAACAGGTTTTTATTACTTGTTAATGAAAAATACAATAAGAAATAAAAATGTATTCTTATCAAGATAAAAGTGAACGATTAAATATTAGATTTGACAGTAAACCGGTTGGCTGCCATATAAAATTAATGCCACGTTGATTTTGTTTCGATTTTGTCATGCATCATATTCAGAAGTTCTTCGAATTTCCCTGAGGTCATCCTTAGACACATCTTATATTCCAACTCATCCTCTAAGGCTAGTTCTCTTAGCAGAAGAGCTGAGGCCACGTGCGCATTCCTTCTTTTAACCCACTCTCTCATCCACTCCTTTCTTTGTTTGTTTACCTCATCATCGATAGCTTCAGCGACTTCAGTTACAAAAAATACATTTGCAACTGTAGCTAAACAATTTTGAATCAATTTTCTTTTTCTTGAATTCTTTTGCACTAAACAAACACCCACTCCACACTATACTTGCATCAGTACTATACTTGTAACTCTCCTCGTGTGAACGGTATCAAGCCATTTTTGGTAGAGTAGCGAGTAGAGTCGACTCTACTCGCTACTCTACTCTCCTCACAACTCTACCCGTGTAAACAAGTCTTTACTCTAATTCGAGATCGGCAGTATCCCATTCTAAAATGATTTGAAATGAAAAGAAGTAGATCGTAAAACCATGCATTGAGAAAATTTATAAATAATGAGACAAAGATCTTTCTGATCAGCAGCTACGATCATCAAAATTAAAATCGGCATAAACAGAAACATATTACGCATAGTAGAAATTTTTACCGGGAACTTCACATTAAAAAAGGAGTTTGTGAAGATACTCAAAAGAGAACCTAGCTATGAAAATACCATATTATCTTAAAAATTGACAGGGCATCACATTTAGAGGCACACTTAGCGAAAAAGGAAGTTTTTAAAAACTTAATCATGCATTTTTTATTTACTGACTATATTTATTGTTCTGCTTCTTACTGGACCATAACGGTGAATATTGGAGCCAGATTAAGGTTTTCTAGTCAAAACTCACACATACATTTATGGTATTAGACAGTGGATAGCTGAATACCTGTAATGGTTTTGACAATAAAATTTCGTGTATCAAATATGTGAAAACTGTATTATATCTAGCACACAACTAGCAAACTAATAAGGTTAGGGTTTCTCAATACTGTAGCAACAACTTCGAATACCAGGCAATGCAGCAAATCGATAACATTATAGAGAAAAAAGCATCAATTATTGGATTAGGAAAGTTAGTTAATCATTCGATAAAAACTGTTTGAACAAAATACTTTTGACAAGCTTTTATCATGTTTTAAAATGTATATACAATTATCTTGTAAACCAGCAGACACATGACAACTTTTAAAATATTTATTTTTATAAATTTGATTAAAATAATGAGTTTGTTATGCTAGTTGATTATTTTTATACCAAACTTAATACAAATAATTTTTACAAAATCCTACTAAGAGAGACCTTGCATGTAAAAACTTGCAAGAAAAATATATATAAAGTTGGTGGTGGCTTAATGAACATACAAAAAAAGAATTATAAGCAAAGTAGAAGCTATATAAAAAGAAAAATAACAACAGTTTACAGATACTATAAATAAAAACGAAAATAAAACGATGACGAAACCATGATGATTAAACTAGCACCGAAAGAGAACAATGAATCAAATATAAGAAAAATATATACAAAAAAAAAAACAAGAAAAATATATACAAAAAAAAACAAGAAAAAAAACTGAACTGAAACTAGGAGCCTGGAACAATGCAAATATATACTAGCACTACAAGAAGTAAGATGGAAAGGAGAAGGAAATACGAAAAAGAAATATTACACAATACACTACTCGGAAGAAAACAAGCCAGGGAAAATGGTAGAGCATTTATGGTTAACAATAGTATAAGTGACAAACTTCCAGAAAATAATAAAATTTATTTATATGAACAACTGGAAGAAAGATTATCCAGAAATGACGTAGTAGCAAAAGGGAAAGAAATTATTCATGACGAGTTAAACGATAGCGGAAGAACATTATGCCACCTAGCAGCAATAACAAACAGGTACATTATAAGCACACACTTCATACACAGAAGAACATAAAGTAACATTGCTGATAGTTGGCACAACAGATGGCAATCAAATAGATCACATATTAATATCCAAAAAAATATAAAACAATAATGCAGGCCGTCAGATCATATAGAGGAGCAAACCCGGACACAGACCATTGTCTACTAATAGGAGAAATAAAAATGAAGGTGATTAAAACAGACAGAACAAGATAAAACAAAAGAAGATGGAACCTGGAGTAGTTAAGAAGGAACTATGAGAACAATATTAGACAACCATAAAGTAAAATCTAACAGAAGCAAATAATACCGAGGAAATATGGAAAAATACAAAAGAATCCATTTTGAATTCAGCTCAAGAGGTGCTAGGACACAGAGAAATAAAAAGAAGTAAAGACTAGTTCGATATAGAATGCGATATCAAAATTAAATAGAAAAATGAAGCCAGAAATAAATGGATAATAATGAATAGGCTGTGGATGGAAGAGTTGTTAAAGGGCCTATAAAAGAATAGTAATGACAGCGCTTAACTATTTGGATACCTAAGAGCTCAACAAAGAAACTGCAGTTCACTTAAAATTGATAATGGATCGAGGGAAACACACTTCACAGAACTATACAGATGTAAAGAAAGCCCAAAGAGGAAGAATGCGCAGTGGAAGACATGAGAGATAATTAAATTGGTATACCAACATATAATGAATATTTAAACATCATTAAAAAAATGAAACTATGCACATATCGAAATGAGAAGAAAATTGTAACGAAAGCTAAGCCATACAACAAACAATGACAATGAAAAGAAGAATGCTGATTGATTCATCGCAATAATCGAATCAAAAAGCTCCAAGTAAGAGCACCAAGCGTTCTATTAGAAATAAAATGCCTTGATGATGATGAACAACAGTTTTTATTTTTAATCATTGAAAAGTACTTGTGCCAAAATAAACAAATCAATGTCTTCTAAAGCCGGCCACTCACGATAAAGCGGTGTCGTTCGACAAAATCGTCGATGATATCAATTCTGCAGTACTGCTTTATAGAAACCAGTTTCTCTGTGGTAAAATTGTAACGATTTTGTTGGATGTACGGTCACAGACGATCAAAATGTTTGTCAATTAGTCGAATTCGATCAAATTGAACGACGTCGCAGTATCGTGAGTGGCCGGCTTAAGAGCAATTACATCGACAAGAAACATAATATATGGATTTTATATAAAAAGTAAAAAGATACGGATTTGACCAAAAAATAAAGTATTTAGGTAACATCTTAAATTAGATATAAATATATAAATTCAATACAAAAAGATATCTGGTCTACTATCAACAACAAAATATGAATATCTGAAGATTGCTTTGTTTTATAAAAATTAAAGAATAAGATGAACATGAGCATTTGTCGATGTTTTGGGTTCTTGATGTTGAAGAGTCGAAGAAAAGTTAGGAAATAAAATTTAATGCGCGATCGTGAAAAATATGCGCATTTTGCGAAGTACATCTTTTCATAGGAGGATCTGAACATTTTTTCGATTTGTATATTAAACATCCTACATCTATACGTTATCGTAAAATGGCAGATAGTACCCTTAAAATATTTTTTAACCATACAGAAAATGTGTATTTTTGTAATATTTAAGATGTCCAAACAACAATTTTTATCTTTGGTAATAAATCCTCCATATCTTTAACAGACTCGACTTTATATAGAGCGGGCCACCGTAAACAGTTCACCCTGATATTTGGTAATATTCATTATATTTTGTGAAAATGCTGAAACAAGTCTATTTTTAGTCTAAAAGGGAAATCTGTCATTTGTCAATCCCCTCTTTTTCAATTCCACCTCTTAATTTTAAATAAGGAATGTATCTTTGTGTGTAACTTAAGCATCCATGAATTTTCTCTCCATTTAACTTCATTTTGTGAAATGTCTTAATTTATTGAAACTGTTACAACTGTTAAAAATTAACCGCAATGCCTATGCTAATGCTAATGTGTCAAAAGTTGTTGGTGTTTTTTTTTTGTAGTTTTGGTATCCTTTAACAGTGTTAATTCAATATATATTTTTTGAATCCCCCTCTTAATTCTGTTACGTATTTATTCGTTTCTAACTCGTTCAAATTTCGTTCTACCTAAGCCTTGTCTCAAATAATCCATCGCCATTGTTAAAACATTGTTATTATTTTAAATATTTTTCGGTATTTACTATTTGTAAATTTAGGCAATGTATATATCATTTAAAATCTAATTAGGTACTAACTAATCTACGACGATAACAGGGTGATTAAGTTAATCAGTTCAAGATATTCATTTTATAGTTGTGCTCCACCTTGTATTTAGGATAGGATTTCACAAAAATACTCATTCGATTAAATGCAATGCTTAACCTATTAATTTATCTTTCTTATAATATAAGCAGTCTATCTTGTCAAAAAATATTTTATGATCAAAACAAGACTAAAAAACTATTTTACTGCACAGGTTATCGTATTTGCATCAGCCACATATTTAGCAAGTTGCTGCTGGATTTGATGTACCTCGATAATATTTTTATTAGTAAGTGACTCGTGGGGCTCGTTGTACTCTGTGTATTTAAGTAGAACCTTGTCCATGTCCGTACTGGCATACTGATATAGCTTGTTGCTACTACTGAAGATGATTAGCGCTATCTCACAATCACACAAAACGGACAACTCGTATGCTTTCTTCATTACTCCAAATTTGCGCTTGTTGAATGTCACCTGTAAAAAAAAAACTATTTTTAATTTTCAGTTACATTTGTTGTATCTGTTTTGTAATAATGTTGAAATTAGTACCACTGTATACTAACAAATCGTATTTATTAATAAATATTAACAAATATGATATGGGACGGACATATACGACATACTCCAGGCAAGAGAAAGCAAACACTGTAGAAGAAGAATTTAAAGTACTAAAAATAAAGTTATTAGACTATACAGGGTGAATCACGAGGAACTGTACATACTCCTACCTCGTATGGAGGCCCCTATGGGGAATAACAAATGACCATTAAAAAGTGTCTGCTTCGATTATTAATTAATATACATGTGAATTTTGACTGAAATTTCTATTCGTATATTTGTCATAACTTTTGAACGGTAAGTTCGATGTGTCTCATATTTTGGTTAACGTTACACTACTACCACCTAAATCAAATGATTGATTCAAACTAAAAAAACAGGTCCAGCTTTAAAAAGTTAGTTCGTTTTGTTCACAGCGAAAACTTCACCTAGTATGCGGTTTTTGAAAACTCTAATACAAAATTTATAAACAAGACGAATAGACAATTAAAATGCCATATTTATTTTTTCCTTAAACGGTTACTTAAGTTTAAATTAAAAAAAAATTAATTTGACTGTGAATTCAGTTTAGCAAAGTGAAACATAGATGTAAAAAATGTAATTTTTCTTGTAAAAATAAATTTTGTTGAACAAACATTTAACAAACACACCAAACCTGATTTTTTTCAGTGTGATTTATTACAAGTGGAAAGCAATCTGGTCCGGTTTTTAAAAATTAGTTCGTTTTGTTCATAGAAAAATTTTTAGCCTGTATAAAGTAGCGCTAAATAGGCAAATATAGGTTTCTTTCTTTCTCTATATAGCCCGACAAAGGTAAACTTTAGCAACTTTTGTGATATTTGGCCTGTAGTTTACATCTTATTTATCATCAATGTAATCTGTAATATTCCCTTGTATACAGATTGAACGAATTTAAAACGGATCATACAATTTAATATATGTCTGTATGAACTGCATTTGAAATAGTGGACCAATATAAAACTTGGACAAAAATAAATCCATACCCGGTGTTAGACATTGTATAAAATATCGTTCAACTATCCGTCTCCTTATAGAACCCACCATAGTCTAGAGCGCAGCTCAAAGCCAATGTTGCCAATCGCAGTGTAATAATCCGATTTGCGGATCTTTTTGAGAGTTATATCTTCTTCATATCTTTAAATAATTTGGATATTTGCCTATATTTTTCATTGTATTTACCAATCTACTACAACAGACTAATAACAAAAATAAACTTAATGGTTTATAGTTATTTCAGAAGTTTGTAGTTATTTTAGAAACATCTAGTGGAATGATATTGGTAACGCCGCTCAAAATCTCCATCTCCGATAAACGAAAGAGGAGCTTGCCTAAAGGCGGCCACTCACGATACAGCGACGTTGTTCAACTGCGTTTTTAACTACACACTTGCTTTGATCATATTATAGAAAATCGAAATGGCTTGATTTAGCGAGAATTTTTTAAGAGACTTTTTTAAATTATATAAAAAAACAAGAATGCTTATAGCGAATAAAAGGCAAAACGTATCACGATAGAAACGCCAGAAAACAGGCAATGGACATTCTAGTTTTAAAGTTCCAAGAAGTAAACAAAAATGCGAATGAAGAGTATGTAAGAAAAAAAATTAACAATTTTAGAACATCCTATAAAAGAGAATTAAAATTAGCAGTGCAGTCCAGTAAATCGGGTGCAGGGGCAGACGAGATTTATTTTGCACCAAAATCTTGGATTCTTTGCACCAGAATCTACGTTTTATTTTAGGTTTCTTTTTACGCTTAGTTATACACAAAGTAAGAGATGCTAAAATGATTGTTTGATTTGACATGGTCGAGAACCGAACAAATACTGCGGCGCAGTATGGTGAGTGGGCGCACCAGATATACCAACAAATTGAACAACGCCTCTGTCCGATTATGTCGAACGACACCGCTGTACCGTGAGTGGCCGGCTTTAGGAAGCGATAGGTGGTTTGACCACCTATGAATGAGTTCTTGAATTAGTTCAGAATCCAGCAGCCCGCTGAAGTATTGGATTTTTATAATATAATTATTTTACAACCTTTTGTTGGCCAACCACCTACATCAGAATTGAGCCGAAATACATAATATTTCGTATGTTCCGAATTTATTTCGTTCAATCTGTCTAATTTTCAGCAATTATGACTGCAATTTATCTGGCCCTACTATTTTCTCATCTTTAGTTGTTTTTGATATTGTTTCTAATTCACTAATTGTAATTGCAGGTCCAGTGTTACACGTTACATTAGAAAATAATAGTTTATTTCATCTTCAAATGTTTACTGTACGTAACTCTTACAGACTCTTTGAAATAGTTTAAAAAAACTCCTGGAAATAGTCGATCGCATGTCAATAAATAACGGTTTTTGTTATTTGTTCGTTATTTCCAATAGCGTAATTAGGTTTGCCATTTTCAGACCATAAAAAGCTTAAAATATGACAAACCCTCTTTTTTTATATTTTTCCCATGTTTTTGGCACATAACCTTAACTAGACTACATTTATTTTACAAATTCCCAACTGTCAACAAACGCACGTGAAAGCCAAACAGGGTCGTACTGAGGTGTATCAAATCATTTTAAAAAATATTTACTTTTGAAACTATTAGTCTAAGAATTTATTGAAATTTAATCAGTGTGAGTAAACTATAGTGTTCCATTGAAGAAAAATGTGCTTAAATAAAATATTCATTAACTGAGAGATACATAACAATGTGATCATTTTGAATAAAGTAGCAATGTCATAAGTTTATCAAAGCATAAAAAACATTCCATTTAAATTACTCAGAGTCTGAGCAGCTACATGTGCTGCTGTCTTCGTCTGGATTTATTATTATGGGTTTGATATGGTTCTCTATTATATTGTTCAACTTCCACATTTTGGACTTGACTTTTTGTTGAATGTGTGCACACATTTCTGCGACGTAGTTGGACTAATATTATTAATTGCATCATAAAAAATATTTTTCATATCTGCAAATTTAAAAGTAGTGTTTTTGGCTGCTACATAATTTTTTAACGATAACTTAACGATAGCCAGCAGTTACACTTTTAACATAGAGTCCTCAAACCCCATATTTTTTATTTAAGCCACGCTTGGATGTCAGCTTTTCTAGAAGCAGTAATTGGAATCTTTTCCAATTTTCTGGAATGATAAAACGCGTTGTCCAATACGATGATGGAGTTGACTTCTAATCGGGGCAGTATATTTTTGAACCAATTTTCGAAAGATTTCCCGTCCATCTCTTCATGATAGTCCCCACTTTTTTTATTCAAACACCCACAGCCCTCCTGGAACAAACCCATCTTCAGAGCCAATGTGACAGATTATTAGCCTTTTTTCCTTTTCCTAAAAATTTTATCATTTTAAAATTTACTTGAAGTGAAAAAGCACATAAATATTTACCTGCAGGATAATCCAAGCGGTTCTTTAATATTTACAGCAAAAATCGTAAATAAATGGACAAACAAGGAAATAAAACTTTTTGAAACATCAATAAATTAATATATCGGATTATGTTTCTTTATTAAAGTGATTATCGCAAGCTATTTTTACTTTTGATTAACAAATACTTTGTTTTTGGATACTAAGAGTTTACTACACACTATAAAACTTAATACTTAACACTTAAACTAAACTTAAAAAATAACATGACCAGTAAATAACTTAACAATAAATATAACATATATCACCCAATATATTAATATAAAAACAAACACGCTAAAAATACAATTTGAATCTAAACAGACTGGCAAGTTTGGACCTGTAAAATGAGAATCCGTCTGGCTAAAGGCAATAAATTATATTTAATAGTCTCTTGACGAATAAGAAGGCGAATATCAACACGTGCATTTATTTACAGTTGGGAATTTGCTAAACGAATGTACCATACATATGGCTAAATAAGTTTTTCACAAGATATTTCTTCATCTTACTTGTGTCTTCCGATTTCTCGGTCGGAATTAGCATTTATATTACCTTTTTAGGTTCTTATAACTATTTCGTGACGATCTGCCCTGCATTTTACTATATGTAGTTAAAAATTGTATAAAGCCAGTATCGAAGCTTTGCCTCAAAATATATAAATATTAATAATATTTAAATACTTATGTTGAAAGCGTTTTCACGGCATAAAATTGTAATGTCATATATCTTCTTCTTCTTCGTTTTATATAGACATGACTGTCTGTTTTTCAATGTGCCTCCAGTGAGTTGTCGTTCCATCGTTTTCGTGGTATTCCTACTGATCGTCTTCCTATTGGGGAACCGTCTCTTGCCGTCTTTACTCTTTTATTTCTTACCCAGTTCTTGATGTTCTCTACCTTGCACCTACGTCGTATATCTGTACTTCTAGCTCTGTTCCATAGTGTCTTACCATCAATTTTTCTAAATGTTTTCATCTCTGCTGTTTCTAACATCTTTTTTGTCCTCTCTGGTCTTGTTTCTGCCGAGTATGTCATTATTGATCTGATGACTGTTTTGTAAATTCTGCCTTTCGTTTCTTTCCCGATATTTTTATTTCTCCATATTGTTTGATTTGGGCAGCCTGCGGTTTGCTCTATTCACTTGATCTTCCACTTCGGTTTCGAGCTTTCCGTAGCTAGATAATGTGATGCCTAGATATTTAAACTCCATCACTTGTTCTATTATCTGACCTTAGAGCTCCAATTTACATCTTAGTAAATTTACTGTTGTAACCATGCATTTTGTATTTTTTGGAGAAATTAACATGTTAAATTTTCTGCGATTATATTAAATTGGTGCAGCATACGTTGTAAATCATCTTTAATTTGAGAGAGTAGTATTGCGTCGTCTGCTTAACAGATTAGTTTAAGTTGTTTTAAAAAAAATTCACAAGGAAATTAAATTCCTGCAGCTGGCTGTATATCATGTATCACA